GATAGATAGATAGATAGATAGATAGATAGATAGATAGATAGATAGATAGATAGATAGATAGATAGATAGATAGATAGATAGATAGATAGATAGATAGATAGATAGATAGATAGATAGATAGATAGATTGACATTATATATTTTTTCTTTCGTAAAAAAATTAGTAAATGAATATATATAAATTCGTGTGAGCCGAAAAATCAAACAAATTTAAAGTAAGGATAAATAAAAAATAATCAATTTTAATAGCTTGTTTATTAATAACGAAATGAAAACAAAACAATTTTTGTCCGAATTTAGTTTTAATTATAATCAAACGTGTACTTAAAACAGATAAATAAAATACTTCGAACTTCATTTTCTAAAGTATTTATCTTTAATGTAAGAACACAAATAATACAGATTAAAATAAGCTTATTTAAATTAGCCTTTTTCAGTAATGATAAATTGTAAAGTGTTGCAGAGATTATTAATTAGTAGCATTATTATTTTGTTTCATTATACGTATTATTTCTACTCAAAAGGACCAAACAGTTTTTTTTACATCTTCCTGAGTCTAGTATTATTTAATATCTGAATAAAGTTTATTTTAAAAGATAACTTTTAACTAAATTTACAAAGATTTTAATATTATGTAAATAAGCTCTTAGAATTTTTATCTCTACAAAATATTACAATTTCAGGACACACCATTTTCTCGGAAAATAACCTATTATTTCCTACTTAATCGCTAAAAAAATACTCGTCGGTGTTCTAAAATATTATATTAATATCTGAATAGTTTTCTTTTACTTTTTTTTTTACAAGAATGCATTTTCATATGTTGCCTTATTAAATCGTTTTAACGTTTTATCATGTTCTGGACACGATTTTACTATAAAGGACAAAAATGTAATGGTTTATAAAAATAATGACGTTATTCTCCTTGCCTTTAATGTCAACCATTTCATGCTTGACTTGTATGTTTTATACATACATATACTACATGTTTTGTTTCTTTTAAGATAAAAAAGGAAACAATTAAAAAATAACAATACCATGTATATGTTTAACATGAACATCGGGAAATGTCCCACAATGCTGCTTGCGAGTTAACTATTACATGGAGACTCAAAAAAGGTGGTGTTTCTCAAGGAAGTCAACATTTTTTAACAAATACTATTTTTTGCGTATGATGTGACAACTTTTGATAGTGTAACATAAAACTTATAATGACAAAGGTATTTCCAAGATTTTTACACCAGAGCTAATCGATAATGAATTGTCGGCCAATTTTGTATTGGTGCAAACATATTAATACACTTAGGGTTGTGGAGATATGCCTCGTTTTAATCCATTTATTAAATTTCTTAGATACCAATAATTAAGTTTTTTCATCAAATATAATAATATAATAATAGGAAGTAAAAGACTTTTACCGTTTTCTGGTATACCCCTATATACATAAAAATTAAAAGTAATAAAAAAATATAAGGGATCTTAATCAAAGAGAACATTTTAATATGCGCTAAAATTTATTTTACAGAATATATGCATATCCCATTTAAACAACTAAATATATATATATATATATATATATATATATATATATATATATATATATATATATATATATTTTTTATATATATATATATATATATATATATATATATATATATATATATATATATGTATATGTATATATATATCTTTGAATTACCCCAAGTAATTTTTTTTAAAATTAAAATATTTATGCTTTATATTCAAGCTAATAAAGACCAAAAATAACATTCTATCTAAAAGAATTTATTGTGTCAGTTAAAACAAAAAGAGTATAAATCTATTTACATAAAAAACGATTCATTGTAATGGGAAAAATGCAAATAGTATTTTAGTGTTTAATCAAATGCTGGGTATGAGAACTTGTAGGCGTTTTTTAAAAGAAAAAAAGTATTTCCTCTAAAAATGTACACATACACACAAATGGATACACACACACATACACACATTTATATATATACACATATACATATATATTATACATTCATAAAAGTTTAATAAACAATGTATATTATGAATTAGAAATGATACTTTTAGAGGCTTAACACGGACATTAGAAAAAAGACACATTTAAATCATAATAATAAAGTACAGGCTTATCAGAACTTGTTTTCTTGCAGCTATTTAATCGCATGTTCGACTAAGGTCTGACACTATCCATCAGGGTAGTAACATTTGAGTTGTAATTTTACCTAGGAGGCAAAGAGAAACTCAAATTTGACATAGGTCATTATAAGTATTTATGTAACCTTATAACAAGAGAATTTAATTAAGCTATAGGTGATTAATTTTTGTAAATTTCGTGCGCATCGTTTATTTTAATGTTAAAGTTCCTTATTTCAAGTTCTGATAAGCCATACTCCAATAAGACCAACATTTTATTTGTATGCTAACGGTTTTATAATAATAACTCAATTTTAATTATTAAATTACAAACTTGCATGCATTATATCTTTGATGTGTGCTTATTTTTGTGTATGTTTTGTATATGGTTGCTTGCATGTCAAGTGATACAAAAGTCTAAGAACCTAATTTGCATAACCTATATTTATTATTAGCTAGTTAAGACATATCATATTAAAAAAAAATCAAAAAATAATTTAAAAAACTCACGTTCCATTGGTGCAGTAGTCCTCTGAAATTGAAAAAATTTAAAAGCTTAAAAAATTGGAAGACAAAACAAAAATAAATTATACAAATCTTAATATTAAATTATTTTCTTAAAATATATAACTATATTTACGTTAATTAAAAAAAAAATACTATTTACAAAAAAAAAATTAATACTAAACTCACTTTTTCTGCATATGAAGACACCAATGCAAATTAAAATGACAAAGATAACTCCGCCTAGAACCCCTCCAATTATTGCAGGAGTTGTTGAGGCGACCTCTTCTCTTGCTTACATGTGAAAGGATTTTAAAATTAAAATAATAATAATGAAGATTATCAATTAGTAACTATAGACATGTGGTAGTTAATAAAACAAGTGTTTTCCTATGTTGAAATAGGAAGCAAAAATTTAGCTTTTTATTTTCCCATTTACATAAGGGGCCCTTCAATACCACCATTTCTAATGGTTTACGGAAATTTGATCAAAACAAATTTCGTCGACGTTAAATTAATCGACAGAAATTTGATCGAACGAATATTTAGTCGAATCTTTTTCTTGTTCACATGTTAACATTTTCGTCAAATTTCTTTTTTAATGGACTATACAGTAAACTTCATAATGCGTTAAAAAATAAATATGAAGAAAAAAGTTTAACGTAAAAGATGAAAAAAAAAATAATCGATCAAATTTTCTTTCTATCAAATTATCGTCGATCATTTTACCTGCGACGAAATTTCTTTCCATCAAATTTTCTGATACAATTTCTAATAAAATAATTAAGATTAAAAAAAACAAAAAAAACAACAACATTGACTTATCCTTAATCATTAAAATAAATATCGATGCCAAAAAAAAAAATTAAAAAATCTAGCTTTGAACGACAGAAAATATCAAGGATGCTGCGTTTTTCCTTTAAATTTAGATTCCGTTTAGTTTTATACAACATATGGAGTTTTATAAAATTTGTATAGGATTGTGGTATAATTTAAAATGTATCTAATTATTCAATTTATATTTAAGAATTTTTTTAAATTTTTGGTCATTTTAATAATAATAATAAATTTTGTCACTTTCCATGAAACATGATAAAAAAATGTACTATATTCAGGACATTAAAAAAAATACATTAAGTTAATTCACAATTTTAAAAAACATTAGAAGCACACAGAGAAAAGAACAAGTCAAATTTCTGGGGAGTTTTACTTCCACCATTTGAAGATTGAGGTTAGACGCCCCTGTTTTCCTGGATGAAAACTACTTTTAAAAGGTGAACGATTACAATCGGATGGAGAAGATTTCGCCCCCTGCTTGTAGTGGCATAGGAACTTTTTTTTTTTTTTTTAATGTTGGCCTGCATTAAGTTTGTATATAAATAATTTAGTTGTTTTTTTTGCTTTCAAAGTCAGGTCTAAATTTACAAATCCATATAGCAGACTACAGAGAAAGTCACTGGCAGTCATAAAGATAGACTTATAAATATATTAACTATAATTACTTTTACTCTTAATAAATAGATCCAAAAAACATACTTTACCTTTCATCAATATAAATCTATATTTCAATGGGTTTCCTATTCCGTTGTAAACAATTAAAGTGTAAAACGTCAGATCATCATTTTGCAAATTTTGCAATGTCAAGGTTATGTTGCCGTAGGGGCTAACACTTTCTGTGAATGTCACGTTGAACATGTTAATGTCCACAGCAGACATTTTTATTCCTTTAAAGAGCTCAAATTTTGCTGGCTTTGGATGACCTAATACCTCCAGGGAAATAACTGCGTTTCCTCCTATTTCAGTCTGAATTTCTTCCCCCTGCAGGCTGTCATTTAACACTTGAATAGAGCCTAGAGAAAAAAAATTTAATCAGTATTATCATAGTAAATTAAAGTAATTTTCACGCTACTTTCATTTAAATGCTAAATATGTCATGTTTTCAATTTGAAAAAATAAAAACAGTTATAAACATATTATTGTATTATTATTATTTTTAAAAAAATTGTACAATAATAATAACTATGTTTTCTCACTATTCTGTACTAAAAAAACATTGCATTTTCAAGATGTTTTAACTTGTAATTTATTATTTTGTTATGAGCACGAGCCAAAATAAAAAAAAATTAAATAAAATCTCTTTTGGAATTAAAGTGAATTTTGACAATATTGGACAAAAACTAAACGTTATGGATGTAAACATTTAACAGTGCACCAGCTAATAAAAGAATAGCATTTTTCAATGTATATTATTATAGGATTATACACAATGGACCTAGAAAAAAGTGATGCCTTACATTTGACAAAAAGTCTGATTGACTGCTCCATTGACACCTCGTAATACACATTCGAGGTAACACAGGTGTATTTATTTGTATCCACACAGCTTACATTATTCCAAATGTATTTGGCTTGCCACTTATTTTTTGACATCTCAATGGCGTCTACAACTAAAGTAAAATTGCTTGGCCTTCTTCTGTCAGTGTCTTTAATTTGAAGGGTAAAAATTGGCTTAGGATTGCTCTCAGCTTCACATATAAATGTCACATCTTCACCTTTCTCAATTTCCCGTTCTGTGTCATTATTTCCCGTGAAGTTAGTTATGTTGACATTGTCTTTTACAATGGGAAAAAAGATAAATGCTTTTAAATTCATGCATACATTTTTATTATTTTTTTTAAACTGTTTACAAATAAGACATGTCTACATTAAAATTACAGCAACGTTCTTAAAAACACAACTAGTTTAATGAAAGAAAAAAGAGATCCTGACCTAATTTTTAATTGTGTTAACTTATGAAACTTTGACAAAAGTAATTAAAGTAACAAAAAGATCTCAAAAAGTTCTGAAAGTTAACTTTCGAAACATAAATGCGTTGAATCCCCATTATAATCCATATTGGCATGCACAGCGTGCACAATTAGTTATATATGTATCCCCTAACTTTTTTGATGGTCCTGTTATTACAAGTGATAAATTATAACTGTTTAGAGCACTTTCGCTTTTAATTGTTTAATTGTTTAATAGGTTGGTACACACAATCTGCTGGTTTTTATTGACTTTCAATAAATGTTATTTATTTATTTGGAATTTAAAATATTTAAATTTATTTTTCGGATATCTATTTTCAATTATACTCAAAAATATATAGCAGTATCATTGTGATTAGTGATTAATAGTAAACTCTTTACTAAAGAAAGTACACTTTTAGAACTGTAATGTGTCAATAATTGAAAAAATTAAGTCCGGTCCTCCAGTATTTTTTTACCGTTTATGAGAAGCACGCCGTATATCTCTAGACGCTACTGCGTTTATCCTTCAAAATGAACATCGACAATGTGCTCGTTTTATCAAACTTCTATAGGAATCAGTCGATCTCAATAGAAAATCATCTTCGCAAAAAGTTTGATCAAAAGGTCACTTCCGTGGACAAAGTATCTTCCAGAACCATGATACAGGGCGCCTTTTAATTTTTACTTTCAGAATTACACTGACACATTTTAAAAACAAAACATAGTAACACTTTAGTTTCACTAACATATGAGCTAAAATGTTCCTAAAACATGAACAACTTTATTTCGTTCCAATGACTTTTTTTTAATAAAACATGGGCTAGCACATAGTCTTTTTCACTACTATGTTTGCGTAGCATCACGAACGGTGAGCCGTTGACATAGTACGCATTCAAGTACTGTCAGATTCTGGGCATTCTTTATTTATGGAGTCTTTGCAATGCGTTTTGAAGCTGGCGGTTACAATTAAATAGGAGTTAGTTGCCTTCATTTAATTCTTCTTCTTTTCCATATTAAATCTTCTGCTTAGCTTAGGTCATTCAAAATTCATTTCAAAAGATTTTCGAACTCTAGTTATCATCTCTCACTCTTTCCAGCTTTTTTTTTTTTTTTTTTCCGAGGGGGGGGGGGACACTGAACAAAAATTTCACATATAAAAAATTAAAAAAAAAAAAAAAAAATTTTTTTTTTTTTTTTTTTTTTTTTTGTGGAGGGGGGGGGGGACACTTTTTGTAGGCATCTCTTCTCAAGAAACTTTTGTGGTCTTCACCTTTCTCTTCATGCTTGAGGGTTGCTGTCATGTAGCAAACATTCCGTGCGTGAACTTTCTTTGTCCTCGCATTAGACTCCTAGCTGACTGTTGTGGGCGTGGTTTAAATTCACTTTGATGTATCTTGCTTACAATCGACTACTAATTACACATTGGATAGTGTGCCTCCTGGTATCTTCTCGAATGTTCTCGATAACCCGAGAAATGTAAAAAGCACGCCATAAGTCTTTTCTGGAAGCGTCTTAAGCTACATGCGTATACGTGATTGACAGATACGGAGAGACGGAGATTCAGATAGATAGATAGATTTTTAACTTAACGAGACGTGTATTATTCTATGTGTATTTGCATGTTGGCATGTGTTTATTTCGCATTTCATCATTATTCAATGGCACATTATTCTAACTATGTTAACTGTGTACCAGTACAAGATCTACCATACTGTAAGTTGATGATTTGTAATGATATTTCTTTTGTTTTGTAATTGTATTAATACTTAATAAATCTTATTAATAGTAACTAGCAACTATTTTGGGTGCCGTATCTTTAATATTATTGAATATATGGTATCATCCTTTGATAGGCACTGTTTACAACGAGCCAATTCAAATAGGAGATTAATTTCTCTTATTAGAAGCCAGTGAGTAAAAGAGCCATACAAGTAATGTGTTTCTATATTTGGCATTATTACTCTCGTCGCATGACTTGATTGAGGCATCTGATATACACGTTTTGTTTTTTACATCCTTTCTTACCTAATAATGTCTTAAAAGTTGAACTCTATTGATTCCCATTGATTCCTTTTATGAGTCTATGTTTTAACTTTACCTACAGATTTTCTAAGACATCTTAGTTATGTAATATGCCTCCACATTTTATCTATGCCCTTTTTTTCTAATCTCGTCTTCATGATCGATGCACTACACTACGTTGAAATTAATTTCTTTCTTATATGTTCTGAATTCTATATGTACCGGTTATTACCCTTGATTGATCTGGTTGCATTGCAATATGGAAATATTCTGCCTGTGGGGAATTTGGTAGGGCCTCTATTTCGGCGTGTTAAGGATTTTTCATCTTCACCCACTTATTATAAAATTGTCTCATCTGTTGTCAATTGCGATATTTCTAGTTTCCAACGTGGCCAATTTTCCCTTAGCGAAACGGAATCTGCAACTCAGCTTCCTTTTGGATTTGATACGGACACTTCATAATCCTTTTATAAGGCAACGAATCGCTTCTCTGAAAATTGGATCTTGACTTTGAAGCAATGGTTCCACTGCATGAACGTTACAACACTAATGTAGATTGTATACTTGTTGCACTGTATTTTATGCAGGTATGCATCTCCAACATACAACAGCAGGTTCTTGGAAAGGAAGTCACAACTCTACTGTTTCATTTTTTTTTTTTTTAAATGTTCCACAGCGTCAAAAAGGGAGAACTAATCATTATTCAACCAGCTCTCTTTTAGTGCCTCGCACAATTACTTATATTAAATCAGACATTTTTTGTTTTTGTTTTTTAGGAATGACGACTAACAAAAAAAAAAAAAAAAAAAAACACTAAAAACATATATTTTAAATGAGAATTCACTTTAATAAAAAAAAAAATATGAACCATGCTAACTATATTAAGAACAAAAATGGAAGAGCCCTACTTCTGCAAAGCGGCTTGTAACTTAATCTAATTTAATGTAACCAAATTTTAAATGAACATAGGCTTACACTTTATAACAATCAATAATTTTATAATATATATATATGGTTGTTTATGAGAAGCAAGAAAGTTAAAATCAAGTATGACAAATATGCGATCGAATTGATTTTTTATTTTGACAGTTTTTGTATAATGTGTGTCGTAGGCGTCTCATTTACTGTCTTGCTTCTTTCTGGTGGATGAACTTAAGCTGACCTTAAGTTTTACAGCACTCTTAGGGAGTTGCAAACTAAAACTATTCTCCTTTTACCTCGACTACAACTAACTAAAATATGTGGTCTGTATTATTATTATAATTTTTAAAAATTATGTAGAAGTTTTGAAAGAGGAAAACAATGTATTAACTGTGCGAGAATTATCTATGAAACAGGCTATATAAACGCCTACAGCGACAAGGCGATCAGACGAGAGACATTTTGATCTTGTGCTATATTTGCTATGACACACACATTTTTTTATTGTGTGTGTGCAGGTTCCTTTTCAAAATTGAATTTTTTTACAACTGATTATATTCTTCAACATTGCACTGGTACAAGCCAATCATTATGCTGTAAGTATATTGCTATAATTTATTTATTTTTGATTTTGTGTTTAAGACTTAACATAACAAAATATATTTATTATAGTTAAACCTGGTTTAATAAGCGTATGCTTTGTTATTATACTTAACTGATGATATCATCTTTTGTTGTGTACTGTTGTAGAACGAGCCATATACTTAAATAGGAGATTAATTTCTCCAAAATGAGAACAATACTTACCATGTGTATTTCCAATTTTTTCCCATCAAAAGAAATTTGAATTGATCTTATCAAAAACTGTCGGATCGCAAAAATTCATACCAGTGTTAAGTGATAATAAAAGGATACATATTTAGAGTTAACATTATACTTCTTGATAACTTACATGTGATGTTGATATAATGTTTCACCGTATTGTTAACGTAACATCCCGTTTCGTGGTGAGCTGTGCACGTACACATTGACCCGTTGTCCTTTCTTTTCAGGTTCATTTTTATCGACCAGTAATTTCCTTCCATGTCGATGGTCTGGCCTAAACAAGACACAGTTAGCTTGCTCACTGTAGGATAACCTCCGGGGGCGGAACAAGTGAAGTTGACATTTTCTGATGATATCCCTTCTTTGATTGGATGTCCTCCGTTTATGATGAACATTGGTTGATCTTTTGGAGCTTCTATTATTAGTTATATATGTATATGTAAAAGAAAAGTAAAAAAAAAATAAAAAAATATCCATATAGATGTTTCCGTAGATGTTTCTCTAGGCGTTTTGCCTTTGCCGAATTGAAACCCAATCGACGTGAAATGCATAAAGAGCGCATTAAAACATTTTTTTTTAAAAATTGCACTACTGGTAATCTTCTGGTTAATTTCAATTCGCCTTGACTGTGGCGTGCTATTAGATCAAACAGGCAAGAACGATAGTGTTAGCTTGACAAATTGAGCATGTCTGCCTCAATGTAAACAAAATAAAAATATTAATCAAATCGAACATTTTCTGGGTCATATTCGAAGCTGAAGGACAAACAATAATAATAAATAAAAATAGGGGGCAGTTTCGTTTTGAAATAATTTACAGTTTACAAAATTCACTATAACAAACACGAAATTTCTTAAGAACAGACAGCATAATTATTTTACTTGTTGACATCTAATGACTTTTTATG